AGAGTCATAATGTAGATGAGCAGGAATACAACAAAGAGCACTGCTAGGATTCTGGGGAAATCAGAGAATCCCAAAAGGATGAAATAAGTGACCTCTGTAATATTTCCTCCCCCAGTCATTGGCTTGGTGCTTCTAGAATCAGAAAAGAGAGAAGAGAATGCACTGCTGAAATCTCATTCAAATTAAAGAGATATTTTCAAATTTGACTGAAAACTGAACAGAAATTCTGTGATTACTACAGAGATCAGTCATTGAAAGTTTTTTTTAAGCCTTTGAAAACTCATTATATAAGTGCAGCTTTATAAGAGCATAAGGGTCATCACTGCAGATTAAAACTGAAATAGCCCTTCAGTCCCAGATAGCCATCTAGATAAATTTTTTAAATTTCTTCTTTTACCCTTAAGAAAAGTTATTTTTGATGTTTATAACAATTTTACAAACTTTTATGTAAATTTTTTGATATATCATCTTCTAACTGGCCCAGAAAACTGTATCGTAACTTGACTTTGATAATGTTTTCTCAAGGCATAGCTTAAATGCCCAATAAAGTTATGGAAGAAGTCTCTTGGGAAGTCTTCATACTAAGTACACCAAAGGGAAGCTAGCATAGCTCATTACTGACCCCAACAATTTTTTCAATCTTAGGGTATTTTACTACTTGAAAACAGCATGGTACTGTGGTTAAAGGTTCAGACTTTGGAGTTTTGTCTGATACCTTCTCATTTTATGAACTCGCCCCCATAGCTTACACACTAAGACTGATTTGCTCCCAATAAAATGAGAACATCAAGAGCCCCTGGACTATAAGATTACTAGGAGAGTTACAGGAAAATTCATGGGGAGGCCCAGCATACAATGCTGTACAAAGTAACTGTTGAACAGGTGTTGGCTATTATTATCATGGATGGCTTACAGATAGCCATGAGTGACAGCTGTACCCATGGATAGGACTGTCAATGGCGCTAGAGCTGTATGGGTTAATTTGAGATATTTCCTGAGACATCACTGGTCTTGTAGACTGTCAGGAATCAATGCCTCTAGGCAGATTCAGATTCAGATCTCATGTAGAAGCAAATCAATCACCTGCAGCCATGAAGACAAGAACCACATAAACAATTTTCTATTTAGTTTGAGTTAATTACACTGGGTCAATTGACAACCACCATCAAGCTATGTAGGGCCTTGATGCAGAGAAAAAGTAGTTTCAATTACCAAGTACTGCATAGCTCATAGCTATAGTTCATAATGTTTTATTGAGATAGTCACCATGTTAGAGCTTACTAACAGATTCATAACAGATTGCAGCTATGGCCTGTGCTCCATAAACAAACTGTCCTTCCTTGAGATGAAAGAGTGAATCAATGAGACAAGCTAAGAAATTTTTGAAAAAAAAAGATTAATAATTAAAAAGACATGAACTTTCATATATTAAAAAGTATTATACACACTGATAACTCACTATTCTTACAAAACATACATGTGTCAGAAGAATATATAGAAATCTCAGAAAAATTTAAATACTGGTAAGAATTTAATATATGATAATAGTATTTTAAATTGATAAAGGATAAACTTTTGACATAAATTTATATAATCTAAGTAGGCAGAAAAATTTCTGAAATATAGCATCAAAACAGAAACTAGAAGAGAAAAATAAGATACAATTTAAAACTTGTTTATGTCAGAAAAATTCACTTACATAAAATACTTTTGAAATACAATTGATGAAGGAAAAATAGTCACAAACATAAAAAAGACAAATGTAGTAATCCCTTTAATATAAAAGGTATAAATCAAGGGATGGGGCATTCACATTTACTCCTGATAAGGGTACAAAATGATTTTATCTCTCTGGAGGAAAAACGTTTTTACTTTATATAATATCTCTGTCTCTCTCTCTCTCTCTGTCTCCCTTTCTCTGTCTCTGTCTCTGTCTCTCTCTCTCTCTCTCTCTCTCTCTCACACACACACACACACACACACACACACACACAAACACACACACGCAACATGTGAGCCAATTACAAATACCAAAAGTAATGACTGGTATGATTTTGATTCCTCTTTTAAACATCCTTGTATTTGATAAATTTTCAACAACTCCTATAAGAAACAACTTATTAAGATACATACATCCTTAATCGTACAGAGTCTCAGACTGCACTCTCCCTGTTTACAGAGTCTTAATGGAATTTAAACACTCTCCTTTCTCCCTTCTTTTTTTGTTCAGACCCTTGAGGCTGTTTCCACTTTTCCTTTTTCCTTTTTTCTCTCCAGCTGCTTTGGGGGGGGGGG